TTCTCAAGCACCACTTCAATAATGCTTAGACTTACGACCGAGATACACAAGGTACAGTGGGGCACAGCTGGCAGCCATAACATTGCAACTGAAGAATTTTAGAACAGGAAGCGTGTGCGCGAACAAAGCAGACTTACTCTGGATGACAATCACGTGGAAGTCAGTGTCGCGTGCGTTGAACTCGTCTGGTACCCCCAGAGTGACGTGCTGCTCCTCCTTTCCCCCCGAGAGCACCTTCAGCGCATCCTCCAGCAGGTCGCTGACTAACCTTTCTACCTGATCCTGCTTGAACTTGCGGACCCGCCGCATCCGCGTCTTGACCCCGAAGTAGGCTTGACCAGCACCCTGCTGCAGCCGTTCTCCCACCACCCGCTCTGCCAGGATGCCAATGAGTGCAGGGTGGGGATCGGGGCTCCCGAGCTCCTGGAGCAACTTGCCCATGCAGCCTGTGAATGCGAGCTCACAGGAGACTGCTGCTTCTGCGGCTTGGGCCAGGGCAAAGCGGACAATGTCGCTAGCTGGTTGTGCTTTGAGCAGCAGCTCGGACCCCGAGTGCTCGAAGAGGAAGTCGCGCCCGCTGAACACACCGGGCTTGAGATCCACCCAGGTTGTTGCGAGAGCCAACTCCATGCACTTGTCCTTGACATGGCGAAGCATCTCTGGTTCCAAGATGTAGCGCTGCAACGTGCCCATGAGATCCGAGAAAAGGGCTTGCACTGCTTTGCTCTTCAGGAAGTGGCTCCATGCCGCACCGAAGCTGACAGAATCTTCGCTGTTGCTCGCAGATGCCCCTCCCGTTGCAGTGGGAGTTTTCTCCTGGACTGCTCCTTCAGAAGTGGCCTCAAACTCACCAGGTAATAATCTTTGCTGCATTGGGGACCAACGAAGTGTTGTCAGCACTGGAGATGGAGACTCGTTCTGACTCTGGAAACTTGATGTAAGTCAGTACTAAGCGACGTTGACTGTGGTAAGCTTGAAACCTCGAACACTGGATGGTGCAATGTGTACCGACCTTTCACTGCACATTGCGCTTTCTCGAACGGCTGTAGCATTCTTGGGTTCTAGGGCAAGTCGCATTTTTGCAATTACCTCCACATCCTTAAAACAGTGCAGCCGCCTTCAAGCCTCAACTCAGCACAACGAGGGGCCGAAATGACCATACTTTTCATCTCAAAAATGGAGAGAGACCAGAAAATTTACCCGCTTAGAGGGCCGCTCTGGGACCAGAGTCTTCATGACGTCGTCGCTGAGCGGCGGCAGCGGGACGCCCACCTCTCCACACGATTGCCAGAATGTATAGCGCAGCAGCAGGTTGTCCGCCAGCATGTCCAACCGCCTCGCAGCCGAGCTTGATTTGAAGGGGACTGTGTACCGTGATTCCCAGTTGTGGATGTCTACCTGCACAAGGCAACCACTTCTGAAACGTCTTTCGATGCCAAGATTCAAAAGCACTGTTCACTGTTAAACGAAAGGGTGAAGGCATCTGATAGAAGCTGGTTTTGCAATCCCTGCTTGACATGTGCGAGGGAAACATCAGCGATTCATGCTTCAGATCTGCCGGCTGTCAATCCCTGCCTCCTTTCATGACCAATCTCTCGAGCTTCTTGGATGACTGGCCTTCAACAGCATGTCACGCCACCGCGGAACAAGACTGGTAGGACTCCCTGACGGCTTTGCCAATGGAAAACTCTTACCGGACTGATTGCAGTAGGGAGAGGCAGGGTGCGGACATTGAGGTGTCGCGCATGCTGCTCCGAGGCCCTTGTTCCCCCACCACTGGAGACGAACACCACGTGTTGTAAGGTCGTCATTGCTTTGACCTGATCAAGAGCCTCCTTGTCCTGGAAGATCCCGTGCGCTTGATCGATCAGCCAACAAGCGCCCTTGGTTGCCTCCAACACAAAGTCAGACACAGCCTCTGGTGAGTCCAGCTGGGGGATGACAGCAATTGCCTCTTCGTCATCATGAAAACCCGCTCCTAGAGCCGCCTGTATCCCAGCTTTCCACGTTTTCTTCCCTGTCAAGCTCTCAGCATTCAGGATAGGGAATATCCTGACGCGTCGCCCAG